TAAAAACAACACATTACATATGGGGACACAATGATTCAAATGACTGAATTTTTCATCAGCAACCATGGAACCAAAAAAATAAAATGAAAACCAAATAGAAACCATGGAACAAACAACAATGGAATAATACCTTTATAGTACTGAAGGAAAAGAACTGTCCATTCAGAATGCTATTTCCAGTAAAAATGCCCTTCAGGAATAAAGGCAAAATAAAAGCATTCTCAGATGAATACTAAAAATGACCCTGTTGCCTCTGTTATGGGCCAAATTGTAGTCCCTCAGAGTTCCTGGGTTGAAGTCCTAATCCCCAATACCTGAAAATGTGACTGTAGGTCTTTAAAGAATTAAAGTTGCAATGAGGTCATAGGGTGGGCCAATCCAATATAAATGATGTCTTTATCACAGACACAAATTCTAAGCAAGCAAAGGCAAGAAAATAACAGAAATCAATCACAATGAGAAAAATATGAATAGAGAAAAAATAATGGAACCAGCAGCTGGTTCTTTAAAAAGACCAATACATATTTTTTTAAAAACTTTTAACCAGACCCAAGAAGAGACAAAAAAGCTAATATTGAGAATCAAAAGGGTATTCCACTATGACCCAACAGACATTAAAAGAATAAAAGGAAATTCGACTAACAACTGTAGGCCCATAAGTTCAACAGTAGTTGAAATTCTTTGATGCACCCCACCGAAACTGAATTCATCCTTTAACACCTCTCAAGCAAGAGGACTCCAGGCCTGGATGGTTTCATTAGTGAATTCTACCAAGCATTCAAGAAAAAACAATACTAATTCTACACAATCTCTTCCCAATAAGTGGAAGAAAAGGAAACATTTCCCAACTCATGTTATGAGGTCATCATCATTGATATCAAAACTCGATGAAAACTCTACAAAAAATAACATTACAAAACATGACAAGGACATTACAAAAAAACCGTAAGCCTTTATTTAGTACGTGAATTGTCAAATGTCCTTCCTTATCCACCTCATATCCCTCCATAATCCTGCAAAACCAAACCCAACTAAACCCACCCCACTCCCTACACACACACACACACACACACACACACACAGACCCTCAGACACATCTGTGCAGCTAAGACCCAAAGAAGAATGCCCGCAGCTTCAGGTCTCCTACTACTTGCCCTCTGCTGAAGGGTTGGACGAGTGGAGTGGAACTTGGGCTGAATTTTAGATCCCATTCACCTGTGGTAGCTGAATTATGGTCCAGATCCTAATCCCTGGAACCTGCAGATGTTATCTCATACAGCAAAGAATGTTCTGCAAATGAGATTAAGGATCTTGAGGTGGGGAAATTATCCAGTGGCCCTTAAAGGAAATCACAACTGATTTTATAAAACAGAGGCAAAGGGAGATTTGACGGGAGTAGGAGAGAAGGCAGAGTGACAGCGGAAGCAGAAAGCGAAGGTGCTGCAGTGCTAGCTTTTAAGATGGAGGAAGGGCCGTGAGCCAAGGAATGTAAAGACTGGCTCTGGAAGCTGGGAAGGGAAGGATTCTCCCCTCAGAGTCTTCAGAAGAAACCCACCCTGTCAACACCTGGACTTTAGCCCAGTGAAATTTTTGGATTTCTGAAACTAAATTTCTGGCCTCCAGAAATGCGAGAATAAGTTCACGTTGTTTTAAGCAGCTAGGTTTGTGGTAATTTGTTAAGCGGCAATAGGAAACTGGGAGCTGAGTGCCTGTGTATAGAGCCAATCTGCAGGCTGTTCAAGCAGCTCTGGGTGTAATCCACTTCTTCTGCCCACAAATGAGTAAATTAAGACATAGGCTGCACCTGGTTAGCATTTCTTTGGATTTCCCAGGCCTCTCCCAGCCTGTAGCCTGGGCACTCGGGCACGTTTTCACTTTTTCTATCTCCAGCTCCTGTCTGGTCCTCATATGTACTGGAAGTAGAAGTTCTGAGACTTAGCTTTGGGAGGGGGAGCAAATAGCGACCTGCTTTTCCTGGGATACCTCAAAGGAAGGAGGTCTGGTTATAGCAAGCCAGGACCTAATCAGGACCTGTCAGTCTCGTAGCTGAATACCATTACAACACAATGTTAACTGCTAATGAATCTCAGCAAACTACAAATGAGAGCATAGCAGAAGGGAGAATTAGATTAAAACTGTGTTTATAAAACTAAAAATTGCCTATTTACATTTGTGGATTATTAAGTCAATTTTGTTCAGTCTAATCTCAATTTTTCCATGAAATAAAATAAAATAGAAAATATCAGAATGCATTGCAGACAGCTGGGGTAAGTATAACTAAAATTTTTACCTCAGTTATATGTGTCAGCATAGATTTTGTGTTGCAATATGAAATGTATTTCTTTTACTGACATTTAAAAAGTTTGAAAAATACCAGAGTATGGGCTTTCAAATAGCCATTCCAACTCTCACCCAACTATGCTTATGAAGATTCAAAGAGGAAGACGAAAGGATTATAGTTCTCTGGAACTAAAAGGGAATTTTCAAAAGCAAAGTCATTCACTTTGCTCACTTGTGATAGCTTAAGCTTGTAATAGAGTGAAGGAAAGCTACCTAAAGCAGGCGTCCTTAACCTGTGGTTCAGGTGGTCTAGGAAACTTTGAATTGCATACAAAATGTTGTATATGAAAATGTACACATTTTAGAAAGGGCATATATTTTCCATCAGACTCTCGAAGTAGCCTAGGACTTTCCAAAACATTAAAAACTACTGAAATAGAAAATCTTTTGATACTCTAAGCTAGCCTGGAGTACCATAGTTCCAGAAATGACAGAACCTGATGATAATTCAAATTGATTTACAAAAACATTCTAATTTCAGTCTAATACAAAGATTAGCAGTTATCAATTAAGATCAGTGAAGATACCAAATTATGAAAACTTGTTTAAAAAAAGGATGTTCATTCTTTATTGTATGAAATCAGCTGTTTTAATGAAGGACTATAATAAAGTTGGAATCTTAAAATGGTTAAATGGTAAAAACTGTATTAGGTTTCATAACCTCACTCACATAACCAGGTCTTCATCTCAGCCTTGACGGAGAGAGGCACAGGGCCTTGACATCGCTTGCCATGACCCCTTGTTACTCTTCACCTATTTCCTATTGATCCTTAAAAATCCAGCTTAGGCCTCATCTCCTCCAAAAACTCTCCCTCTCCATGCCAGGTGAAACTGGCTGCAAGAGCTCCACTATGCTCTTCCATAACATCAATGCTGTTAGCTATTTACCATGTTCAGTGGAGATTTCCTAGTCACATCTCCCCTCTGCACTACACAGTAAGTGCTCTGAAGGCAGGCAGGGACTGAGGACATCCTAATCTCCAGGTCACCCAGAATCAGCTTGGTACTAGGCACACATTAAGAGTCAGCAATACTACCAATGATGATAAATTTTAAGTGCAGTTCTTACAGGAGAAAATATATACAAAGTTAAATCTTTTCACCGAAACATATCAGAATTGCTTGAAGTCTTTCTTCTTTAATAAGGAGGTCTACTTCAAAAAAAAATTTTTTTAAATTATTACATCCTGGATGGTGTGGCACAGTGGATTGAGTGCCAGCCTGCAAACCAAAGGGTCGCTGGTTGGATTCCCAGTCAGGGCACATGCCTGGATTGCAGGCCAAGTCCCCAGTGTGGGGTGCGTGAGAGGCAACCACACATTGATGTTTATCTCCCTCTCTTTCTCCCTCCCTCCCCCTGTGTCATAAATTAAATAAATAAATATCAAGGCACCACTCTTTCAGTAATTTATTGCATATGAGAGACAAAAAAATACTCCGAGAGTACAGCAGGCATGGACACATCCTTGGTTGGTGATCACTGAACATGCGTGGGGTGATCTCCCGAGGACATGGAAGGAAGTAGCAGTGTTGGAAGCTTGGAGGGAAAGGGTCCAGACAATTCCAGTCATCAGCAAGCAAACTTACATAGAAAAAGATAACATTAGCAACAAAATTTGTCCAATATCAATTTGAGTAAATACCTTCCCCTTAACTGTCTAGAGCTCAAAATATTCCTATTTTGCACTTGTAGTAAGAAAAACAATGTTTCAGAAGTCTCCCCACATATACTTTCCCATTTTCTAAGAAAAATGTGGCAGACAGAAAGCAAATAGTAAAAGGGACTTCTTAGTTTTTGTATTTCAGAAATCTAAGACTTCATTCTACCTTGTTCATTGTTTTACCTGAGGTGGTTAGGATGGGCAGAGAAAAGCTAAAAAGTGAAGACAAAAACTTTTTTTGAAAAAAGGTTTTGGTTGCCAACACCCATACCATCCCTCAAAATTAGTCCTTGAAACAGGAAGAGAGTCCTCTTCCCCAGCGCACACAGTTTAAGAACGGTGGGAGTGAAGCCATGAGAGAAGGTGGCAGCGGGCAGGCCAGCCAGACACCCCTTGCAGTACCACTCACCCCAACAATAAACCTACAATCATGGTGCAGAAATGGCTGGACAATGGAACGCTAACCAGAAGGTCCAAGGGAATATTGTCCCCTGAGGTCCCAACAACGTCCCAGGTGTGTCATCAACCAGAAAACCCAGGAAGCATACTCTGATCACCTGAAGGGGATAGCCTAACCTACCTCTGGGATGTTCACACACACCCAGTCCTCTGGAAAATTCTAGGGCTGGAAGGAGGAGTGGTAAAATTTACCAATATGAATTGTTATACACAGTCAGGCAGGTAGAAGATATTTATTATGACATTATTCATTACAGATGAAGAAAGGTTACAGGTTTTTACACAAAGTCACAGAGGGAGCGGCCGGGCTGGATCAGCAGCACCGCCATGGCTGGAGTGAAGCTGGGTCCCACCTCCAGCTCCCGTGGCAGCAGAATTCTAGGAAGTTGGGAGGAAGACAGGAGGGGAGCCCTGTCTACATGATTTCCACAAGCAGTTAAAAGCAAGCTACTCCTGAAAGCACCGAAACTGCACGACATATTTTTTCAAACTTTAAAAACAAAAACATCTGCCAGGAAACGCAGGTCCAAACTTCGGGTTTTACACAAACAACCGGGAGCCACACAGGTGCTTGTTCACGGGCCACAGGTTGCTGTGGCCTGTGTTGGAGGTGCTGCGCTGGCACTGCCTACAGCGCCGATACTGCTCACACTGGTCCAGGAGGAAGAGCTTGTCTGAGGCCCTGAGGAGAGGGGAGCAGAAGCAGCCATTAGCAGGTGGTCCCTGCATTCTTGCTGGGGGCTAGCTAGGAAGCGGGTGCAGTGGAAGGGATACAAAAAGAAAGTAACCCCTGCCTCCTGACCTCCAGGAGCCTACCACCTGCCTGTCATCTCCCACCTGCAGTCTCTCCCCCTCCATGCTGCTACCTGCAGCTCATCCCAGCCTGGCATTTCCTGCTTCCAAACCTCTGACACCTCCTCATTCCCCAGTGAATAAAGGGTTTGGACTCGGTGCTTTCACAGCATGGACCCAGCCCCCCTACCCAGCCACACCCACCAAAAGCCTCAGAGAACACAGAACAGGCTCCAAAGATTCTGTGTTTGCTGCTTTGCCATGTGGATGTGCCTTTTCCTGGCAGGCTCCTGAGAGACCATTTGAGAGGGAGATCAGGCCACCAAAGTGCTGGTTAACAGTTAACACCCCAGCAGACAGTTAAGACTTCAGTAAAAGTCTCAGGAGGCCAGAGGCCTCTGGAGAGTTATGAGCAGGCGAAGGGAATGGAGACAGAGAGAGAGGACAAGGGAGGCTCGAAACAGAGAGGAAGGGATGGAAGTGACCGGTTTTCCACTTCAATAATTTTTCTGATTATGCAGGACAGTGCCTGCTACCCCAGCAAAATTCTACATGGGTGGAATTCTGTAAAAAGCAGCATCAAAGACAGCCTCAAAGTGAGGAAGAACAATCTCAGCAGTAGGTATGGGAAGACCTACCTGGCTCGCCTAGGCAATAGTGTGGAGAATCGTGTGCTAACTGCAGATATCTGAACCTTGTTTTTGCTTTTGCTTTTGCTTTGTTTTCTCTTTAAAACCCACCAATTTCTTCTACCTTCCCACTGCCTGCTGGAGTCCCTGCCCACAACTTGGCCTAGGTCCTCAGGGAACAGATCTGCTCAGCCATGGCCTTGGAGAAGCTGTGTTATCCTGCCCCACCAGGTTAGATCCTGTGTCCCCTCTCTCCTCGGTCTCCACGTTGGCCAAGCATTCTTCCAAAATCCAGCTAAAACCCTCCTGTCACTAATCTCACTGCCTTTTATCTGCTTTTCACTGACACTGAGAAAATGGCTTGAAATCTCAGACTCCCTTTTCCCATCCACTTCCAAACAACCGAACAATCACACTTCCCCTTCGGAACCTATTTTCTACATCATCCCTTCTGCTCTCCTTGTCACAAAATATAGATTCTACCCATTACAAAGACATCCAAAAAATGCCTTAAAAGAAAATCTAAAAGGAAAGGGAGAGTTACAGATCAAGATCCATTAGAACAAATTTAACCTGTGGTAGAAATTAGTTAATAATTGGAAATTAAAATATTATTTTGGTATATTCAGGTTTTTATAACATTTGATTGCATAGGCTTGGTCTGTTTTTGCAGGTGTTTAACAGTCTAAGAAATCATACCTTACATTTGCAAAGTGTTTTGATTTTTTTGAGTTGTACTTTTTCACCTCCTTATGTGGTCCCCCAACCCCCAGTGTTAGCTAAGTCAGGCAAATGTTTACTTTCCCCACCTCACAAATGAGAGAATCTTAGCTGCCTCTCCAAAGTCAGGGTCAGTTTTCAAAGCCATGAGTAGATTCTCTGACTCTAGATTGCAAAAAGACCACTGCAGAGAGGGAACAGGGATATCATAATACTCTCCAGGAAGATGTGTTCTGTTGGTTCCTAATAATGGACGGGTTTCTCACTTTTCCAGTTGCCAATCTTACCGACAACCCCTTGACTCTGCTCTTAAATAAGCATTCTGTAAGCCTTGGATGTGTTCAGATGTTCAGTCTCCCTGTTTCCAACTAGTTATTGCCACAGAGAATTCCCACCCTCCTCCCCCAAAGCCTCCCCACCCTCCATGAAAAGGAAAATAAAGCCACCCTATGCAGAGGCAAGATTAGGGCAGAGATGGCAACTATATAAAATACAACACAATATTCTCCAATCCCATATTCATAACAGACATCAGAGTAGTTTTTCCCACTGAACCCAGAATTCTTTTCTCCACAAAGTTCTCTAGGCAGTCACTAGTAATCCACTGGAGGGGGCACTCAAAGCCTATTTGCCACCCCACAGTTAGAGGAAAGTAAACAAGGAGCAGAGGGGAATTTCTTTGTAAACCTAGAACTGGATCCAATCGGGTATTACCGCTCGAAAGCCTTCTCCTCCAGGTCCCTTTGCCTCTTCATTTTAGCACTCTGCTCCCAGTCCTCCTGTAAGCTTTGGTTCATTCTGTTCACTCGCTCCAGCTCAGCATTTCTGTCTGCCCGGTGCCTGGGGAGCACAGAAGAGTTGGATTCCATTCACAACACTGGGAAGGGCGTGCACCAACCTTGGGAGCCCCATTCTTTTTATGGTAAATTAAACAAAAACATTCTGGTTTTGTTTGCTACTCTTTGAAATGTACTAAAAGGCATAACACTATAAAAAGTTTTTTTTTTAAAGAAACATAGTGAAACTCCTATCTCTCAAATAATTTATGAGTTTAGGGTCTTTCATCTTCAATCCTGGTTTAAGAGAACAGGATTGAAACCTTTTTCCAATTAGCAAATTCAGCCTTTAAAGCTATTAATTTCCTTTGAGGCTAATTTAACTGCTCTGAAGTATCATCTTAAATGGATTTCAGACATTTCATGTTTTTTTCCCTTTATTCCAATCTCTCAGCTATCAGTAACCAGCCTGCCAGTTGCTATCAGCATCTTCTAAGACAAAGTAGACAGGTACACAAAGGAGACAAGTAACTAGGCAAAAGAAAATGGAATTGAGAAAATATCTAATATTGTAAAGAAGGTAAAACAAAAAAGGGGTGTTTGATGAAGGTCACATCTTTAAAAAAGTGGCTGCTGTATATATCTCTTCAAGGACAATGTTTCAATATTTCCAGTGTTAAGTGCTTCCATTTCTGGTCTCCTAAGGCGAAGTCACTGCTGTTGTGAATCACCCCTGAAACCTGGTTCAAGTTATTTATGTGTGCCTATTTCTCACCCAGCTGAAACCCTTACCATCAGTCCCAAAGAAATCCAGGAGGGACTTCACTCTTTGTGACCCTCAATTTAGCCTGCTCTGAAGGGCTGTGTGTCTCAGGTAGCAACCATCACTAGGAGTCAGGACCCTCCAATAAAAATCAGTAATGTGCTCTGTGCTGGTTCACTTTTCCTAACAGCACGGCCACATTTGCCTCTAACAAGCATCAGTCCAAGCAGTCCTTATAAACATTAAATGAAATAATAACAGAAAGTGTCAATGCCTTTCACACAATGGGAGTTCAATGACTGAATGGTACTTATTTTATGTATTTACATATACATGTATACATATATAATAACCTTTTTTCCTTTTCATAGTTTAATTGTAGTAAAAAAAAACATAACAAAATTAAGCATCTTACCCACTTCCAAGTGTACAGATATATAGGGCTAAGAATATTGACATTGTTGTACAACCACCAGCCAGAACTCTTCTCACCTTATAAAAATAAAACAACACGCTCACTGAACACCTCCCCATTTCTCCCTCCAGCTGGCTCCTGGCAACCACAGCTCTACTTTGTTTCCATGAATTTGACTCCTCTAAATATCACGTATAAGTGAAATCTTGTCATGTTTGTCTTTTTTGTGACTGGCTTATTTCACTCAGCCCCAGTGTCCTCAAGGTTTACCCATGTTGTAGCATGTGTCAGAATTTCCTTCTTCTTTAAGGCTGAATAATATTCCATTGTGTGTGTATACCACATTCTATTCATCTATTCAACTGTGGTCGAACATTTGTGTGGCTTTCATTGCTCAGCTATTGTGAATAATGCTGATATGAACATGAGTGTGCAAACATGTCCTCAGGACCCTGCTTATAATTCTTCTGAATATGCATCCAGAAGTAAAATTACTAAATCATATTGAAATTCTTTTTTTTATATTTTTCTCACTTTTCTTTTTTTTAATATATTTTTAAAGACTTTATTTCTTTATTTTTAGAGAGGGAAGGGAGGGAGAAAGAGAGAGAGAGAAACATCAATGTGCGGTTGCTGGGGGTCATGGCCTGCAACGCAGGCATGTACCCTGACTGGAAATCAAACCTGCGACACTTTGGTTCACAGCCCACGCTCAATGCACTGAGCTACGCCAGCCAGGGCTCTGAAATTCTATTCTTAATTTTTTAAGGAACCATCAGACTGTTCTCTATAGTGGCTGTGCCATTTTTAGTTCCCACAACAATGCAACAGGTTCCTATTTTTTCACACCCTTGCCAACACTTACTATTTACTGGTTTCTTTCATAGTAGCCATCATAATGGTTGGCTACTGTGGGTGTGAGATAGAATGTCTCTCTCTCTCTGTATCTATATCTATCTACCTCTATCTCTCTCCCCCCTTGTCTTATTTTTCTTTATTTTTCCCCTTTACATATTTGTATTGTCATGGTTTTGTATACCACTAAATAGATAATTTTCTTCCTTTCTCATCTTTTGCATAATTTAAAAGCAGTACTTGTTAAATCTTTCATGGTGTGTGTGGTTGTAGGAAAAATCTATAATTGTTCTTGATCTGCATATTGCACAAGGCAATCAAACCACAGATATTATAATTCAAGATAAAGAGTAAAACATTTTATCTTTGTATTTGTAAAAAGTTATTATACAGTTTAGCAAATAGATAAATGTTTTCTTTCATAAAGCCCTAGGAAAAATAAGATAGCCACCTTATATGTATACATTACCCTGATATACATATATATCTTAAATAGAAAAAGACTTTGTACATCTACATAAGTGAGTTGCAGGGGAAAACATGAGCAATTTTCTCACTGCTTATTCCACTCAGACCGCCATAGAGTTGACACTCCAGGATAGATATATGATTGAAATTAAATTTTTAAATAATATAAAACATATTTTAAATCTCACCTTCTTACCTTGCCATCTTTAGTTACTGGAGTGAAGAATTGCTGTATCTTAGGTTCCCATAAGTTAAGTATTCAATAAAACATGAAATATCTCTTATTTGGGAAAAGCAGAAATATAGTTAAATGCTAAATGACCTCTATTTCAAACAGAACAAATGACATCAGTTGGTGGTTGGGTGAGACTCACTGCAGGCCCTTCACACAACACGGAAACCATTTGTTATGGAGCAGCCACCTCACTGCAGTTTTGATTTGCATTTTCCTAGTGATTGGTGACGTTGAACATCTTTTCATTATGCTTTCTGGCCAGTATTATATCATCTTTGAAAAGATGGGCTAAAAAGTCAAATTAATTTAAAGGCCTAGAGAGTGAGAAAATGAAGTAGGGTTAGAGGGGAGGCAGCCAGTGTTCTCATGAAACTGCTGGTGGAAGCAGTTGCTGCCCTTTTTAGAAAGCAAACGGTCAGCACCTCATGATTCTTAAAACCTTCCATATGCTTGACCTAGAAGTCTCACTTTCAGGAATGTGTCCGACACAAACCAAACAACAAGTATAGATTATATATATATATGGTATACATTTAAAATGCTTAATACAAAGATTGTTACAGCAAAATATCTGGAAACAAAGTGTTTATTAATAGTGAAAAAATTAATTTATAGTAATTTATTCTGTTATTAAATTATAAGAATGAATTTCATATATATGCACTGACATAAATATAACTTAATGACACATTATAAGATTAAAGGAAGACTGGGTTGTAATATATAAGAGCTCATAGGTCTCATTTTCATTTATAAAAATGGAGGGGAAAATATATGTACATACTGTTTTAATATATTTGTAAGAAATAGGAAAAAGTACAAAAGTTTATATATTAACCTTATACTGGCTACTTAGACAAGGGAATTATTAATCTCCTCTTTAATGTCTATACCAATTGACATTTTAACTAGCATGAGTTGTTATATTTTTAAACAAAAAAAGAAAAGTTTGTTTAAAAACAATAAAACAAGTAAAAAATACTGTAGCAGGCCTGATTATACAGACTAAGTTATCCCCTCTGAAAGAAAATGGCCTTCTTTTTGTCGTACAAAGACCTAAGAGCACATCTTGAGAAGGACCAGAGTGCAGAGAGTTAGAAAAGATGAGAGAGGCGGGAGAATCTGGAATAACCAGTGAAGGATACAGAAAAGGAAAACAAGGCTCTGACCTGTACAGAAGACAAAGTCTAAACAGCTGTGGTCCTAGAGGTAACCAAATAAAGACCACAGTTCGTATTTGTTCAGAACTTTGCAGTTTCCAAAAATGCTCCCACGACAAAATCTCTTTGAATTCTCATAGTAAATGTAGGTAGGGCAGGGATGATTATCCTTATTTTTCACACAAGGAAAAGAGGGCTCAAAGAACTCCTGTGTGGTTTGGCTCAGGTCACACAGCCTGAAAGTGACAGAGTTTAGTCTCCTAACTCCAAGTTTAGGAGATGAACCAGAGAAGCCAAGGTCTAGAAGCAGAGCAGGCGGCTGCAGTAATCTGCAACAAATGCAAAGGGCCCCAGGGACAGGCTGTGACAGCATGGGGAAAAGGGGGACAAAAGAAGGCTGTTAGCTGTAAAACGGAAGCTATTTACAAAAAGTATTTCATTTAACCCTCAAACACCCTGGAGGTAGATATTAGTGTTATCCCTAATGACTAATAAGGAAACCCGTGGCCACACAGGTGTGTAATATGCCCAATATCCCACTAGTGAAATGGCAGAACCATATCACCTGATCAGAATGGACACTGGAAAGGGTCTTGGAGACTCCAGGTACTCATCTATGAGGGGAAAGACCATGGAGAGGGGAAGGGGATCCCAGGGAGGGGCTGGGGCAGCCTGGGCAGCAGGGAGGGGTACTTGTGGGGCTCAAGGCAACAGGCCCTTTTTAAGAACTATAAAAGTATTTCAATATATTTGAAGATAGTATAGACACACAAATATGTATTGCCCTGAGTAGATGCAAGACTATCCAATTCTGCCTTGACTCTAAAAGCCGCACATTTAACGACTCTTACCTCTCCCAACTAACAACCCAGCCTCACCCTTGTCACAGTGCACTGCATCTTCAACCTACTGTTCTACTCATGTTTTCACACCTGAGCCTACCTGGCATAGGACATAACAGGTCTTTGCACCATCCCCCTGACCATTTATAAAATTTTAATAAAATAACTTTTTTTCTCTAAGTACAGCTGCCTTCTAAAAAGAGGAGATTCCTTTGAAGAAAAGCCCCTTTGGAACTCCAGAGAACTTTAATAATTTTATAAAATTCCCATTGGTGGAGTGCCTAATTAGGCCTTTTCAGAAACTAGGTTTCTGGTGTTTGAATTTAAAGGTACTTGCATTGATATGGCATGGAGTCCTCCTCTGCCTACCTGTCAACTTCACCCCCACCCCCAGCTATCCTCAGTACAGCTCACTGCATGTGCAGCTCTTTGAAGGAAGGGGGCTTAGTGAAGGTTGAGAAAGGACCCAAGTCTCACACCTGTGTCTACTTGAGTACCACAGCACACCTGTGGCTCACAATACATTTCCAAAGGACCGTGCTGGTATGGACAACTCTTTTAAGATGTTGTACTGACAAGGGAAGGGAAAATATGATGAGGTCACTGGAGAGAGAAATGGTATCAAGAGAATTTAAGGTTTTTTTACTTTCATAACTTTTCTTCATAGGGTGAATTATGAGGATGAAACAAGGTGAAGCATATATTAAGCTTAAAACAATATTCTTCACATAGTAACTCCTCAATGTGTCCACTATTGTTATTGCTTCTCTGCTGCAATATGAGGACAGAGAGACGAGGGAATAGGGGAGAGAAGGTAGGGAGGAGGCGGAGGAGGAAGAATGGCATGGGGTCTCTTACTCTTTTTGTGTCTTCTGAAGCATCTGCAGATCCCGCTTTTGGTCGACCAGTTGGTTTAGGATGGCCTTCCTCTTGCGACTAGCAGCTGCCTCCAGCTGGTGCTTCATGTAATTCTGTTCTCGCTCTCGCCTTTCCCCTACCAGTGCATCCTCATTATTGCCAAAGATGGGCTCAGAAGAGTCTGGCTCAAATAGGGGCAGCTGGGGGAATCTGTTCTTTATCTGAAACAGGGTCACACATAATGTGGGTTACAGTTATACCAGGGAACCAACTATGCACAAGGCTGAGGCACGGTAAAATACCAATACCTAATAGGAAGGAACGGGGGCTCAAAACCACCAAATGGATAACACATTACAGTATTTATTCGTATTTTAAGAATGCTATTGAAGCAGTGCACAATTTTTAAATTAATAATTGTTCCCTTACCTGTGCATTCAAAGCTCTCTTGTAACACTCTGTTTCTTCCATCTTATCTTTTATATACTTGGCTCTTTGTGCAGCAAGTCTGGCAGTTAAGAGTAAGAGAAGGTGGGGCCAAAGTTTGTTGCTGAGTCTTTAATAATGCAGATTAACATTATCAAACCATGTCTAATAAGTACTAGTAGAAACAAAAGCCTTGTAAATAAAAAGTGATATTCTTTCCCGGAGCTTTCACTTTAAGAAAGAAAATAGTTATTCAAATCCACAGGCTAATGGACAATGTATTGAACACAGGACAGATAGGACAGGAATAAGCAGGTGACCAAGCATACTGTACAAAAGCACTGCTGCTAAGACGGGCAGTCTTCCTTCCTTCGTGCTTTAAAAAAATATCTAGACAGGAAAGCAGGAGGTGTCTATTCATTTTATAAAGTGACTCATCATAACATTCCTCTTAAAGAAAAGGGATCTTTCCTATTATGCATTATGATTCACCTCCAGGGAACCCACTGAGCTGTAAAATGAGTACAATGGGACATATACATTTCATAGAAATACAACTTTTTGGTCACAGAAACTGGTTTTATTTGTTTAGAAGTCTCTCTCTCACACTGCAGTAGCCTTCTTAATTGCCCTCCTAACCTGGGTAGCAGAGCATGACCCCTAAGAAATGCTTGAACTCTGTGGCCCTGAGCCTGTCCTGTGCCCCCGATGGCCCAAACAGGACCAGGCAGATTCTTTTCCCTGAAACTTTGGAATTGAGACTAACACACATTCATGTTTGAGCTGGAATAAAAATAATTAAGACAATATCATTTAAGGAGCTGTGGGCGTGAGCAGAGAGAAAGCTTCTACTTCGTGGCCTTTTAGTCCCCATACATTCCTGCCCTCAGATTCCACAGAACATCCCTATATACTCATCATAAAACCTCAGATTTGCCTTGAGATCGATGGGAATCGCTAGGAATGATGCCCTGCTCAAGACAAGTCCCTTCCAGCATTGGTGATCAGGAAACAACACAAAATGAGACTCTCTAATGAAAGCAACTATAGATTGGCAATCATTACTGTAATGATAATTATAATGGGTTTTTCACTTTTCTAATGAAATCTTATGCTGTGGTGCTGGTTGCTAGCTGGGTTAGTTTGCTCAGCTGGTTACAGGTGTGGGAAACTACCAATGCTGATTCAATCCCACATGAAAATAAGCTTCACATGAAAATTCCAATCCCGTTTTCCTGAGAGTGTCTAGCTAGACTCACTCCTCTGTGAGCTGCACTTGTTCTAGGCGTTCCATCAACTCTTTGTTTTCTCTTTGGTTTAGTTCCTTTTCCCGTCTACTCTCCATTTGTTTCAGGAGGCTTTGGAGATATTCCTCTTGCTTTAAAGCCTTAATCTCAGGACTGAGTGGCCGTTTATCAAATAGGAAGGATTTCTAGAATGAAAGATAAGCAATTTATTTATTGTAGAATACCAAAAAGCAACAAAGAATAAAAGTAATCATTCAGAAGACCAAAATCATCAGGAAGTATTTATGAATTTATAATATTTGTAAATCTTCAACACAGTGACCAGCTAGTAGCGAGGTAACCCACAGAATACTATGGACGCGCTCAAGGTTAAACCCAAGCAGAACTGACGAGAGCCCACTCTCTGAGAGAGAGGTGAGGGAGGACTTCATGGAGGAGGCCCTGAGCGAGTACATACAACACAGAGGCGGAAGGAAGAAGGGATTCTGAGTGAGTGCAAAGCATGAGCAAGGACAGAGAAGAGGTGGGGAGAGGGAGAACTGAACACTCACCCTGGACCTGGCCATTCTAGACACCGATGATTCAGTAGTGGCCAAGCAGAGACAGCCTTGCTGTCATTGAGCTGCACTCTGGTGCAGGAGACAGACAGTGAACAAGTAAACAATACATCAATAATCCAAGGAAGTGATGAGTGCCATGCAGCCCTTATCAGAGCAAGTGACTGGGTGGGAGTATGGTTAAATTTGTTGGTTATTAGGGAAAGCTTTTCGGTGGAAATGACTGAATCACCACCATTACAAATATCAGGAGACGTGTGTCCCATACAGTAGAAAAAGCAAATGCAAAGACATTGGATGAAAATAAGCTAGGCGTGTTTTAATGAGCAGAAGGAAGTGGCTGAGGCATAGTGGGCAAGGGGAAAGTAGAAGTAGAGGAGCCCAAAGAGGGGCCATATCATGCAGGACCAAATAGGTCAAGGTAAGTTTAAATTTTATTTTAATTCAGTGGGAGGCCATTAGATATATTTTGGTTAATCATCATGAAAGGCTGCTGTGTGGAAATAGGCTGTAGAAGGACAAGAAGGCTAACAGCAAGCCTAATTAGGGAGGGTATTGCAGAAGCTCAGCCTTATAACATGGCTGGGACTAGAATGGTAATGTTGAAGATGAAGAGATGTTAGATACATTGTGAGTAAAGGCAACCAGGCTTGCAGAAGGTTGGATATGGGGGAAGAGGAAAAGGAATCTGGAATCAGGTGCATGCAACTCTCCACCTGGTGATGCCACTTACTAAAATGGGAAAGCAGAGAGAACAGGTTGGGAAACAGGTCTGTTTTGGTCATTTTCTACTTAAGATGTCTACAGATGTATCAACAAGGAAATACTAAGTGAGCAGTATTAAATATAACCTGGAACTTGCATATAAGAGGAAAGAGAGATCATGCCTCAACCTCAAAAGCACAGCGCTCTCTCTATTCCTTTCCTTCCCTGCAGCTCCTGCCTGGTAATTTCCTCTTCCATTCAAGTCTTTTCCTAACTCCTGTATACCAGAAGGTCTTTCCAGATCTCTGGTCTGGGTTAAGTAACTCTCCTCTCTACTCACGTAGTGCTATATGCAAAGGCTTGCCATAGCACTTAGTACACCACACTCTTGTCTCATTAAATCTGCACCCCACCCCACTATCTTCTCTAGACCTCTTCAGAAAGGAACATTGTCTTATTTATCTTTGTATTCCTAGCCCCTAGTACAGTGGTAAGCACATGGAAAGTCAGTAATAAATGTTAGATGATGACTAAAGAAAATATATTATGTTAGATTTATGTCCAGAATATCAAGCTACCACCTTAGGCAGTGGGTGAAAGGAGAAATTCAGGCAGAAGTAAAGGCAGGCCCATAATGATTGAAAATATTACATCAATGACAAAGCAAGTGGCTCACCTCCATCTGAAGTTTCATTTCTCAAACTTGAATGCTCCCACAGATCACCTAAGTATCTTATTCAAATGTGCATTCCCATTCCAGAGGTCTGTGGTGGGACCCTAGACTCTGCATTTCTGGCAAGCGCCCAGGTGACACTGGTTATTTATTTAGATCACCTGTTCCTGGGGCAGGACTTCAGTACACTGTCCCCTGCCACCTACCCCAGCTCCTGGTTGAGAATTTCTATCAATAGCGATGACCATAGTGACTGATAGGAACTGTATCATGAATGTGAGTGGTGCAGAGGCTGACACTGGACCACTCCTGCCCTAGAAGGAAGAAGGGAGCTTCAACCTCACACAACCCCCTTTTCACCTCTGCCCATTAAAAACCGGCACAATCTGCAATGCGGTGTGAAAGGAAAAGGGGCCATGTACTGAACCTGATGAGCTCAGAGGAGCCATGTCATGGCCTTACAAACAGTGACCAAACGTAACCACGCGGGGGTGGTCTGATCACAAACTCCTAACTAGGCAGGTCAGAGAGGTAGTCAGGATCCAGACTGATTGCGTCCTTAGCAAAGGTCAACCTTCACCTTAAGGGAGCTCTGTCCATTGTTCTTATGCATCTAGGATAGCACACCTTTAAATTTTCAGAGTAATTTTCTTTCCTTACCCTTTGAAAGTACAAGCACTGGTACCGGAGCATAAAACCATTAAATCCTGCATTGTCGTCTTGCTCCCCACCTACCATCTGTATGTACTGTCAGTGTTAACTACCTTGTACCAATGTAAAAGAAGCTTGAGTTTCTCCATTTTGCTTTTTAACTAGTCCTAGAGATTTCCCCACTATGCTTTCTCTCACCCCCTTAATCTACCACCAGTGGCTTTCATATAATCTTCCTTATGTTCTCTCCTTTGATTCTAATTTATAAAATAAACTGTGAAATTGCCCTTCTCCAAAGCATTTTCTCAGTCTTTTCTGATTTTGTTCCTAGGCATGTCCTCACAATTTTGGCTCTAATAAACTCTTACAAAACTTTTCTATAAGCTGGACATTCTTTTGTTGACAATAGAGAGTGGACCCAAAATTCACAGGTGGGGCAAGTATTCACAACAGAAATTCTGAAAAGACCCTTACATAAAAGTCAGGTTTCTCATTCTTGTGGATTCTCATAGCTTCAGCAACTCCAAGATTATAAGCAGCGTTTTTTTGATTCTGTTCTCTATTAGCCAGACTTCTCAACTTTAGGGCATAAAAAAATTATAACACATTAGAATACAACCTTTAAAAAATTTAATTCTAATACATTAAAATAATCCAACCAAAGTAAAAACTGATGTCTTCATAGATTTACAAAAGTAGGTTGGGAAAGGCTTTTTATTTCCAGTACTTGGGCTTCGGGCAACACCCCTACAGGGACCACAAGGATAATGGAAGATTTCCTAAGTGGTTACCTGACATCACAAATGCAGGAAAGAGCAATAGCATCAATTATTAGGAACCACAGACCAATTATTGATAGCGCAAATGCAAAGGTGCCATTCTGTCTTTGCTTCTTGGCATAGGCCATGAATATGAAGAAAAAGGCCATGAACCAGGACCATATTTTACCAAAAATCAAAAAATAAAGCCATATAAATTCAGGAATTCTACACCTTTAAAACTCAATCCTTAGCTTACTTAAATATTCATCTCAGTATTGTTTATTATTAATAAATTCAAGTTTTAGTCCTATAGTAGTACATAAATTATTAAATATGTTACCATATAGGCATAGGATAGAACTTTTTTTTAAAGATTTTATTTATTTTTACAGAGAGGAGAAAGGAGGGAGACAGAGAGGGAGAAAAATATTGATTTATGAGAGAAACATTGATGTACAAGAGAAACATCAATCTCACACCCCCAACTGGGGACCTGACCTGCAACCCAGGCATGTGCCCTGACTGGGAATGGAACCAGCAACCTTTTGGTTTGTGGGACAAGGCCCAACCCACTGAGCCACACTATTCAGGGCTGAGAGAGCATTTTAAATGGCATTTTATAATTATGTTGTACTGTTCATTGCTAAGTACTCTTTAATTAAGGTGTTGAATTACCTGATGTTTAAAGAAAGTCTCTTGATCTTTCCACATTTGATATTGTTGTATGAGTCGCTCATCTTCCATGTCTTTCTTCTTCCTCTCCTCATTGTAGTACAATGGGAAATTTCGTTGTGCTCGTTGCAAACATACATAACACATCTCCTACAATACCAAATTTTAGGACAGATTAAGTTTTACCTTTTACTTTTTTGCTTTCACAAGCTCTCCAAAGGTTGGATATATCAAAAAAGATGATGTTATAAAAGGATACATTAATGATAACTAGCAAGATGAGATTTGCAGAGTGAGTCCCACAAATATGCACCAGGATTTACTGAATTTTCATTTGATCAGAAGTATCTATAGCAACTAAAAATTAGTAAGAGATTTCCCACCCCTGTTTCTGTTAACGAGTTGATTTTGACTAGTAGATAGATTTATCATAGTCCAATTTCAGGCCCTGAATGCTGGAGCCATAGCCTTATATTAAAGAGATTCTCAGCACTCTCCCTGAGAAACAGAGGTCAGAGGAAGATTCTGGTGAAGTTTTGTTTGTTTGAAGACACTGTACCTGTCCTGCCCTATTGTGATCCTGGCAAGTAGTAGCTGGAGAAATTGTAGCTTTCATTTCATTGCCATTTTTCAGACACCTTGAAGGAGTTAAGCTATAAAAACAATGCAACATTAATTAACATTTAATACAGTGTGACATCTAGAGCCATGATAATTTTAGAGCAAGTGTAAATATAAAAGAAAGAATAAATATGTTGGTGGTTTTCTTTAAAGCATCTATATGTGTAGAAATTAAGAGCCCATGTTTTGTGTCAGATAAGCGTGGGTTTGACAAGATTTTTTGCTTACAGGCTGATTGGCATTACACAAGCTGGGTAGTTTTGCAAAGTCTCACTTACCAAATCTGGGAAATGGGGGTAAAACTTATTCGTTCTACAACAATTTATTGAGTGCTTACTATGTACATTGTGCTCAGCATGGAAGATACAGTGAAGAAAAACACACACACACACACATAAAAAGTCCCTGTCCTCCTGGAATTAACTTTCTGATGGGGATGGACAGACAGCCAATAAACAAGAAAAATAAGTGAACTACATAGTATTTTCAATGGCGATAAGCCCCACCCAGTGCTGGAGGAATGGCATCCTAGGCAGAGTGAATGAGTGCTAAGTACTTGAAGTGGGAGCATGCCTGTGTTCAGTGTGACTAGGGGAGGCCAGAGATGAGGCAGGATCTTGCAGGCCATAAAAATGCCTTTGGCTTTTGCCCCAGGTGAGAATGGGAAGTGACTGAGGGTAAAATGTCCAGTATTAGCAAAGCTGTAGGGGAGGGAGCCATCCTCATATTATTGCTTCTAAGAAGGTAATTTGGTACAGTTTTATTGAGGAAGATTGGTAATGTGCAGCAAAGGCATACGAAAATGGTCTTGTCCCTTATCTTTGAAATTTCACTTTAAAGTTTTTATCCTATACAATACTCAGGTGTGCACACAGAATTGTGTGTAATTATATTTATTACAACATTATTTTAAAAACTAAAACTCATCAAAATATCCAATAAGAGAGTAGTTAAACAAAAGGTTTAACCAATGAAATGATATTCTGTAACAGTGAAAACTATGAGGAGCTTAACCTCTTATTGCTAAGTGTAACAAAGGTTCAGGTGATCTCAGTTTTATTTAAAATGGGTGTTTATGTTACAAATATAAATCTATTTATATGTTGTATATGCATTGAAATGGAGAATATACACAGTAATATTAACAAAGATTCCTCTATTTAGTGAGATCATGGGTCATTTTTTATATCGCTCTCTTTTCTCATTGTTTTCAAACTTTCTGTGATAAACATGTATCACTTTAGTAATCAGCACAAAAAACATTTTTGGTCAACTTCTATAGGAAACCTTCACTGACAATCCCTAAGGATTACTTCCCCCCCCCCCCTTGAGGCCTTTTTGTTGCCTCCATCATATACATTATTGCTTTAGTGTCAGTCCCCTACAGGATGATAAATATCATTAGAGTAGATTTATATGTCTTTTATATGTCTTATAGCTCTGTGTAGTCCATATCTATAAAGCACCTGGCACACGGTGGTGCTCAGTGTTTGTTACATTGAACTAAATTACAAAGTACTAGGCATGAAACTCTCAATTATATTTCATAATAGTGAGATCTAAAACAAGCATGCTTAGGGTTTACACAAGACTTAGTAATCCAGAGAATACATAAATTGCACACGTGATAGCTGATGCATTGTGACACATAATAAATTGAAAGTTGACAGCATAGTAAAAGGTACATAAAGCCACTCAATAAATACTTAAGTATAGTTGACTGACTTAAAGTCTTAAAAAGTATCCTACTCAAAGGGAGAAAGAGAATATAGAAATTTTTGACATTATAAGAAAAAGACACAGCTATCATAAGTTGCAATGTATTCATTTACTCACAGAACATTTAGTGAGTCCAGCCATGTATGGCAAAACTGCTTTCTGATTTGATCTAAACATGAAACTGTGTCACATCATGATATCCAAGCCCTTAGAAAATAACAAGGGAAAATTTTCCAAATCCACAAGGAAAACCTCCCTCCTCTATGCCACTTGGTTTCCACCTATGCCATAACATTCAACCTATTACATTTATTGTTTTATGTAGTTCTGTCTTTCCCACTGGATTATAAACTCTCATTATGTCTATCATTCCCACCACCTAGTACATAGAATGTACTCAAGAATACCAGATGAAGGAATGAATAAACATGTACTTAAATTCTCTGAATCAAGAAATAACTCAAAAATGTAGTTAGTAAAGTGTAACAGAAAAACTACCAACACATTACCTTTCTGGGTTCACACTCTTCCCCTGTCTCCCACTCTGCTCAAACTTGTTCAGCAAGTTGGCGCCTCTCACTTTGCCAGGGGAGGCAGCTTTTCTATCTGGAAGTTTCTTGGGTGATAAGATCTCTGTAGGATGATTAAAAGTGAGTTTCCTTTCAACTTTAAATGGGTATTTTGTACTTAACACAGATTTTTAAACTCATAATTTTACCAGGGAAAATTTTCACATAAGACACACTTTCTTATCTTTAATTTATTGTCCTTCACCGTAGTAGTGGTTTAAAAATGCAGAATGGGGCAAAAGTAGGTTTACAGTTGTGAATAACAAAATACAGAGTTTATTCTTTCATTACATTAATTATTGTATTATTTTCCATAAGAACAACTGTAAACCTACTTTTACCCCAACCTGTGTGTGTTTTTGCTGTATAGTAATTACCTGCAAAGCACAAGCTGGGCACTTTAGAAAATACTAAGGGTCAAGTCTTCACCTTTAAAGATCTTTCAATAGATATAGTTGGAGACAAAAAAATAAGATATGAACAAAGGACATGAGAGCTTTCATTTGTGGAGATCTCACTACATGCCAACAGTGCTAAATACTTTATATGCATTGCCTAAATAACAACTCAGGACAATAATGCATAATGTTTACATACCAAACAAGTAGCGTAGCGTTTAAGGGTCTGATCTGTTCAGGGAAGAGAGGAGCTACTTCAGAATCCAGCGATGAAAGAAGTGCTCAGGGAGGAAAAGGGTCGTGAAAAGGTGCGAAGAGGTGAGTAGGACTGGGACAGACTGTAAGGAAAGGAAGGGCACTCCAGGCAAAGGAAAAAAATGAACAAAAGCATGAGGTCAGGGAAGGGGAAAGCATGTTAGAAGAACATGAATAGACAATTTTGCTCAAAGGAGTCTATAGGGAACTGATGATGGATGAGGCCAAGGAAATGAAAGCATGTGACTCTCAGGCCAAAAGTGCATATGTAACACTGTAGGCCAAGTTACAAAACCACCGTCTGCAAACCAATGTCCACTCATTGATGAGTTTTGTTTGGTCCAATCAGCCTTTCTGGCTCAAGGTCAATTAGTTATCAACATTTAAAATCAATAGATTCTAGGATCTCTGCTTCTCTTGACAAATCAGAAAAATTGATAACACTTGGCTCACATTTTCACAAATCAACAATCTGATCAAAGAAGTCTTCAACTGGTAGCCTGGCAACCCCTGCGATGGATACCTAAGACCCTTTTGAAGTGTCTTTGAAGTTCTAGTTTTTTTCACATGCTTCAACCAAGACAACGAATCACAACAGATGCGATGAAAACACAGATATGACAGTCCACTACCTTTTATTAAGCCAGATATCAAAGATGTAAGATTACCACTCTTCATTTTTCATAAAGATGATTATTTATGCTAACATGTCTCCCTATCACATTATGCCCAACCCATTTTACACATTTATGTTACCTGCCTGGACCCTGGAAGCATCTGAGTTTTGAGCCTTTTAAGCAGTGGGGAGGCAGCAAAGAGATCACAGTCTAGGAGCCTGAGAGTCATAAAGTGGTTAAGGTAAGATACAGACTCTAGGAATAGGAGATGTTTGAGAGAAGAATGTATGATTATTCATGAATCTAACTTTATTTACTTTGGGTATAAGAGTTCCTAAGCAATATGGCTAGGCTCACTGAGCAGTCGAGAGTGACAGATTACACCATTGGCATACCTCTGACACCTTCTTTGTCTGTCCCGTCTTTTAACTTGCACTTCCTTGGTTTATTCTTCCCACCTTCTTCTACAATGGTCTCCATAGGTGGTTTGTTCTCCATCTCCTTAAGCTCAATCCTAGGAATGAACCAAGGTTATTTGTCCATCTGTGCCCAAATAGGTGACTGTGAACTCTCAGTTCTGACAAGCAACCCACTTAGCTTGCTGATTCTGAAATAAGCCCAATTCTTTCAAGGGGGTGAGTGTTTTGGTTTGCTGAATACGAATCACCAACTCACTCACTCCCTTTGAGGCTAAGCCTGGGAGCTGACCAAAACCTTCCCCCTCTACACTGAGGGCTCAAAAGCAGTTCCTATATAAATTGCTTTGAAGGCCTGGACTTAAGTTTTTGATTTTAGTTTCAGTTTGAATCTGCCTGTCCTTATCAATTCTGTAACCAGATGCCATAGGGATGGTACAGTAAAATGTAGTTGTTGGGTAGCTTGAAGGCAAGGATTCATAGCCTGATAGGCAGCGTGTGACCAGAAATAACCATTACACCCCTCCTTCCTCCTTCTCCCCACTTCTCCATCCTTTCTCCAGGCAAAACTGAGAGGCTTGCAGAGGCCCAGGGGGAGAAGGGGTCTGTTTAGTCTGTGTGTGTAGTTGTAGGTTTTCTTTGGTCTCCGGTATGGAGTGTTGGGTTAACATTTGGGGGCGAGGGAGCTTCCAGTACATTCAGGGACCAAGCTTCAAATCAATAAAACACTCACAACTTTTTTGAGTATTTGAGTCCTTGTGTCCATTTCTAGGATTTCTAATTTTCCTTGACTCACTGTAATTATTTCCCTCCTGGAGTATAATCCAAAACACATTCAAGGGGACAACCAAATTTGCCTCCAAAAATATAATCATAAAATTATTTTGGATCCATTGATTTATTTTTAATGAGGAGGGAGACATGGTGCAATGGAGAGAACATGGGGACGGTCAGGAGCCAGGGCTTGCTTTCTGGCCTGGCCACTAATCAGCTGTGTGGCCATTTCATCTGCAACATGAGGGGTTTGACTAATCTCTGAGGCCTGTTCAGGCCCTCACATGGATTTTGCTGAGGAATGTGTCATACAGGCCTGCCAAGAGGAAGCTGCTCCAACCCAACAAACATAAGATGTCATAGCCTCAAAACAAAATGAGAAAATAATATTCTACGAAGCTGACTGTTATTCTCTAAACTTCCTCCACCTGAAATGCACAATAGTTAATGGCACAGAAATTAAGAACATGATTAAGAACACACAATGAGTGAGTGTTGGCCAAAATGGAAATAAAACCCAAGTCTCCTGACTCTTAGTCCAGTGTTAATATTTCACCACGTTGCTACATTTGTTAAAAAAATTAAAATTATAATTAACTTTCTACCTCTATAAAATGGATAAAATTATAATACATATATGAAATGGTTATAGTGAAGATTAAGTACAATAATATTTAGAAAGCACTTAATAGTACCTAACTTCATAGATGATAACTAGTAGTATTATTCATTATCATTATTATAATCAGTCAGCAGCAGCCACCAGTAACACCCACTCCCACTGCACCCTTGGGGTAAGGCTATTTACTAAAAAGACCATGAGCTACAAAAGGTTGAGAAACACTGCCCAATGAGATGAACAGAGCAGCAAGGATTGCTGGTACCTGGAGGAGACTGTAGACCAAAACACTGACCTTGGAAATGCAAGCACATTGTTAGTCTGCTCCTTGAAGTTCTCTGTGCTAGATAACACGGAGTCCACTGTGCCAGGCCTCTGAGGGACAGAGACAGAGAAGGATGACACCCGAGTTGTGGTCCAGGACACAGACAAATCAAAGCTACAGGGTATCTCAGAGCAAGGCCACTATGGTCATGTTTATTACTTTTATTTAGAGCTTAAAGTTTAGAGCTTAAAATCCAATGAGGCATGATCTCAGTTATCAAAATAGTCACCCTGGGCAGTCACATAACAATTGCTGCTTTTCCTCAAACCATTCCCTCTTTGGAAATTGCCTTCAGAGTTTGATACATCTTTAAGAGGATAGCCAACCTATTGAAACTATCAGGAAAATGAGCAAAATGATGAATCCACTCTTTACCCAAAGAACTCTAAAATTGGGCTTTGGATTTGAAAAGAAGGGCTTGGATCCAGGTGGACTCATGTTCAAATCCCCACACTGCTAACAGCTAGGGTCTAATAATAATAATAGGGGATAATAATAGGGTCCAATTTATAGGATTTTTATGAGATACTCTATGGAAGCGGCCAGCACATAGTAAGCACTCAAAAAATAGCAGTTATTATAATTATCATTACATTATAAAATAATCACACTATTACATTATACTAAAATGGAATAATATATAAAATTAGCTTTTGTAGACTAATGATATAACTCCCAAAAGGCTTTGAAGGGAATTCCTAGAACAAGGTTTTAAAACTGTTGTGCACAAAAGCAGCATCACTGAAATAAGCAGACAGCTTCCCAGTGGAAGTACTCTGCAGGTCAGCACTCGGGTTAAACAACAGGACATGACTGGGGGAAAAAGACAGCCACTCTCAACACTTCACAGCAGCTTCCCAAAACATGTTTTAGTGATGTTACCAAGTGCTGGGTTAACCTCAAGTCCCATGATTAAATACATTCAGTCAGTTCAAGTAGCATCTTTGCAGCCATACTTCTCACATACCTCAACATGCCTGGTCCATGAGGGTGATGCGTGCAGCCAGCTCCCCATCTGCTTTCACCTCCAACCCCAACTTTCAGAGAATGTCTCTCAGAACTAGTTCTTTTAGGAAATGCCCCTTTAAAATTACACCTTAAAGTGCAGCAGGCCAATTAAAACATCATCCTCTCTTAAACACATCTCAAAGCTACAAAGTTCTATAGAATCCCCGAAGGTTAGAGAGGGGTCAGTGCTTTGGCCTTGCCTCTGATATTGCAGGTCTTGCCTTGCATTTTTATGGAAAAGAGAGGGTTATAGCTGTGTGTGTCTCCACTTGCCACACACAGGCTTGGCATCCCTCTTACCAAGCCTGTATGAAGCCAGATTGTGGAGAAAACACTGCAGTCCCATTATGCCCAACTCCAACTCATAAATATGTGCCATGAAAGGAGCAGTTAGAGGGTAGATTTTAAACCATGTCTATAGCCTTTTGTTTTATCGATTTTTTCATTTAAAAGTCGGGCTTTTGCTCTAGGGGGACACAGGATTACCTATCATTTGTGATAATCCAATTCATTCACACCAACTCTGTTAGTTCCCAAAGGTGCACAGAAAGCACACTATTCAATTATTCCTGTTGATTGGCTATTTCATTGACTCTTTAAACTGTATTTACAACTTAACATGAAGGCCACACCAGCTAATTAATGGTTAACGATGATGGGTCAATTATAAAATTTCTTCACCAACATGGCAAATTAAAAGCTTAAGGTCCATCTCCATGACTTGAATACAATTTTATTGTAGGCTTCATTAAAATAAAATAGTATAACCAGAAAAAAAGAGTGGTTAAAAACTCTGGGCTTGAACTTCAGTTTCACTGCTTCTCAGCACCCTACCTTCAGGTTTCCCAAGAGACCTTGCTGAGCTCCTGTTTTTCTCATTTGAAAGTCAGGATGATGATAAATGCTTGCTTTATTTTCATTTGAGTTTTGAGACTCAAATGAAATAATATATGTGGAATAACTTTTTAAGCTTATAAGGTACTATAAAGTGTTCACAATTATAACAGTTTCTATTACAACTTATGTTTTTCTGTTGTATTGACTCAAAACTTAGTTTAAAGTTCATTTTCCTTTCTAAACTTTTTGACCAAGAGTTACCATCTATACATAAGCACTTATTTGCACTTGGGGTAACTGCCATTTAAAATTTGTCAACCTGAATTTTCCTTAATAAAGACACACTTACAGACGATTCAGAGCTCTAATGGGGAGAGGGGTTAGGAGAAGAAAAACAGTTATTTACATTTGCTAGGGCTTTTGCCAAAGCCCCACTTCCATCCATCTTGAAAAGGAAGTCCTTCAAAAATCTCATCTTCACCCTGCTGTCTCTGATCACGAGAACTCCGATTCCTTTGAATATAAACTCCACATTTTTTTTTATGGAAATGGATCGTGACAAAAAAAGCAGCGTCTCCTTCACACATCCTTCCACTGTATCCCTGTTAAATGAACCCTCCAGGGATATCATGGCAAAATTAAGTGGAACAACTGGGATATCACCTAGAGGAGAAAAAGACAGTGAGGTAGGGGGAGAGAAGTGGGAATTACAACAAATCACATCCACTTACAAATGCTCATGTGATTCTCAATACTCAAAAATAGAATTGTCAATATGAAGCCTTTTGTTGTACCCAATGTAACTGACAACTAATTACCAATAGATATTAACCAGTACAGTTTTCCTAAAAATGTAATGTTTTTTGCTAAAAATAAGAACAATTCGTTTTCTAAACTATACTCAGTACATTTGAGTATGTTTGAGTATACTCAGTATGTTTATCTTGGATACATAGTACTGAGGTGGCCAAAAACTCTGTTACATTTTTTCCATAAAATAAAAGACACATTTTCATGTTCACTAATAACTTTATTGATTTGGATGTTTTGAGTATGTTGGCTATCTCCCATATGGTAGAATGTTGATTGTTCTCAATGTCTCGATTTGATCGCTATCAACTTCAACTGGTCTACCTCACCATGTAACATTGTCTAGCGAGAAATCTCCAGCATGAAACTTCACAAACCACTTTTGACACATTCAGTCAGTCACAGCACCTTCTCCCATACACTGCTGCACAAATCTTTTTTTGCATTTCAGTTGCATTTTTATCTTTCTGGAAATAATAAAACATAATATGCCAAAAATGTCACATATTTCTTCCATCTTTAATATTTAAATGGCTGCACAAAAATTCACCAATTTTGCCCTGGCTGACATAGCTCAGTGGATTGAGTGCAGGCTGCGAACCAAAGTGTTGCAGGTTCGATTCCCAATCAGGGTACATGCCTGGGTTGCAGGCCATGACCCCCAGCAACCGCACATTGATGTTTCTCTCTCTCTCTCTCTCTCATTCTCCCTCCTTTCCCTCTCTAAAAATAAATAATAAAATCTTTAAAAAAAAACAAAAACAAAAATACTCACCAATTTTGATGTTTCTTCAAATGCATGCTGATATGGCAGCTGTCAAAATACAATCTAACAAAATTGTTCTGAATGAAGTTAAATACAACTAAGCAGTACTAGAGCCATCTTATGGAAAAAACAAAATGAACTTTTTGGCCAACCCAGTAAGAAATGCTTCTCTTCACTAGAGGGTTTTCTGAAATTTTCAGCCCCCTTATATCTTAGGACATGCCACCACAATTTTTGTCTCTCTCTTCCAGTTATCATACGATTTTTAAATGATTATAAATATCTACAAAGTGTTTTGAAAAGATAGTCATCTTCACTAGAAGTTACCTTTCAAATGAAATTGGATCTTATCAAAGGATAACCTGCAGAAAGCTTTTCATCTCTAATGAGTCCAAAAATGCCATTGCAAAGGAATATGAGCATATCTGGCTTGAAGGAAGCAAAGGGTCTACTCAGGTATAACAGTTATAGAGCTATGCAAGGTCCACAAGTCAAAAAAGGGGTAAATAGCAAGATCAACATGGTAAGTCCAAACGGAGGCAGTACAAGATAAAGGGACAAGATCACATTCTAAACAATCATTCAGCAAGCATTAATGTCCAATATGCTGGATAATGACAATTAACAACTCTGTAAGACACACGTTTCCCTGTACTGGCCCACTGGCCCCTGCACAGCTCATGGTGATTCTATACCATCTCTCTCCATTTCATTTTTTAAAATAAATTCCTTAAAAGAGAAAGCTATATTATCTGCCTCTAGATTCTCCCCTCCCATTTACCCAATGCCTCTCTGCAATCTGCCTCCTGGCGTACTTGTCTGGGGGGCGGGCAGCGGAGGGCACTGTCATCTCATGATGAACATGCCAATGGATCCGCCATGAATCTCACTGTCATGCCCTCACTTTAACTCCTGTTAACTGTGGCCTCTCTTCTCCAGTGTCTATAGTGCCTCTCTTGATTCTCCTTTTTCTTCCCCTTGGTCTCCTTTGCTGGCTCCCTTCCTCTTCCATTCCTTATAAGATGGTGGTTTGCTTATTTTTCAGGATTTTGTCCTTTTCTTTCTCCTTTAAATTCTCTCATGGGTAAACTTATCCAAATCTTGATCTCTAGTCTCCACCCTTTTCCTGAGCTCTGGAATCATCTCTACCTAAATAACCGTATAGAAATCTCAAATTGCCCAAAAGCAAACTCATTACTATATTTGCCACCAATATCTGCCTTTCCCCTTTCATTCCCTATGGCAGTTAATGGCATGAGTTTTCATCTATTCTCCAAGAAATCTGAGTCATCCTAAATACCTTCCTTCCTCTTGCTACCCAATATTTTGGCAACCGAACCCCATCAGTTCTACATCTGAAATGTCTTGTGAGTAGGTTCCTTCATCTTCCCCGTGAGTGCCGCTGCCTTCATCAGGCTTGTACCATGTTGTACCAAACTCCTGTAATTTTAAGAGTTATCTTCCTAAATTAAAAACTGGACCAATACAGATAATCCCCTGCCCAAAATCTGTCAATGACTCCTCAAAAACTGTCAATGCCTCCTCAGTGCCTACAGGATGAATTCCAAAGCCTTTATCACACCACTTAAGGCCCCTTCCAACCATTTTTGTTTTACCTCCCTCCACTTGCCTGCACGATCATATGCCCTGGACATACAGACATCCTTGACAGCCTTCACTTTCACCTGAATCAGACTTTGGAATTGTCCATACTGTTCCTGAACTATCTCCCCTGGCTTCTCTATCAGCAAAGTCCTGTCATCCTTTAAGACCTCCTCACAGGTCATCATCCCAAACCTCCCCAAGCAGGGTTAGGCAATCCTAGCCTTTGATCCAGTTCTGATCAAAGCTGTTCTTACAGCACTTAACCATTTGGTATCATTTGCTTATATATCTATCTCCCGTGCTAGATTCTGAGTTATTCAAAGCACAGACTATGTCAGCAATGTTTGATTAGAAACCTAGTTAATTAATGATGAAGAATCATAACCCCAAAGCTGAACTGTGGATACAACTTTTTGTGAACTAATTCAGTCGTACATATTTAATTCTGAAATTTCCTCAACCTTGTGAAAAAAATTATTATAGCTCTCCACTACTTTTTTGAACTACATTACAAGATACAAGACCAAAAATAAGCTCTACTTTTAAGGCACAAATATTTTTGCCAAAAAATAGGCTTATATTTATTTCATATTATAGATTTTTGATGAATTAGGATATTTCTTCTGTCATAAAACTATAAGCAAAAATGGCTGAAAAGTCCATCAAACTCATTGTACTAATACATGTATAATGAATTCTAAGTATAGTTTGTATTTTTTTTTCAATATATAATTTTGCTGGTGGAAAGTTACCCTAAAATTTTTCAGGCAACTTAACAGAAAGTTGAGTTTCAGTATTTTTGCCTGCTGGCATTGCGGGTAGACTATCTCTCTTCATCCATGTATGAGTCTGATGCAGAAGGGAATGATAAGAAAGATCAAAACAAAAAAAGCCAGAAATAAGGGAGGAAAGCTGCCTAAAGGTGTGACACCAGGACAGGTGTCACAGAGTCCACACACTGAGGCTGGAAGGTAAGTGTCCTGTTTTTCAGGCATCATGTCTACTTGTTTACCACTGTGTCTCAGCACCTGGACCCAGGCCTGACACATAGGTGGTCCTCAGTAAATGTTAACAGAAGGAAGAGAGGAAGAAAGGAAGGAAGGGTGAGAAAGAGGGAAGGAGGGAGGAAGGAAGGAAGATTTTAGGGTGTGAGAAGAATGCAAGTTATTCATTAACTCTTTATGGAATTATTAACCTTCTAACTTTTAAATTTTAGTATTTTAGATTATACATATGATAGATAAACAGTTAGTGAAACTGACACTGACTGTAATTCTCCCAACCAGAGACACTAATTAACCTTCTCTACTTTATAACCATGTTTAATTCCTTAGGGTCTGAAATAGGAGTAAAGTCTGTACAACACTGTGATGTGGCTTTTACATAAACTTGCTTTGATGCCACATCAGGTCTTCTCAAGCCTGCCTCTTAAGCTACGGAGGTTTACAATGGCGTGCGGGAAGACTGTGTTCTGTTCCAGCCACAGCCCCTCCCTCTGCCAAAGGCACCACGTGGAAAATAAACCCCAACAGACTGAGTTTCGCCCGCTGTTCTCAATACCAGGCCAGTCGCCCTCTGGGAAAATCTTAAATGTTAAATATATTTACCAGGAGTGTGTACTTTGTTCTGTTTCAGTCCATGGAGCTGTACTAACTTCTCCGCCATGACAAATACGGGCCTCTGAAACAGAAGAAACTTGTTCCCCACCTCAAGTTTTTGTCTCATGAAAGTAAAAGTTCCAAGTCCTGGAATCTGAACCCCCTGAAAGGAAAAAATAGCAATTTACTGAAGGGATAAAGAAAAAACAATCCTTAGTACTGTTATCCAGAAAAATATGAAGAGAATTAACCTTAGCTCTTACACATTCAATAACCCTACAATGCTTTACAACCACAGCCACAGTAAGTTTAGTATAAAATGAACTATATCAATCCATGATGCTTGTCTGACATCAGATCCCTCATGTCCACATGATGCCAAGGCTGTAAGGACTAAGGAAACTTGTATGGATGCCATAACTGCTCTAAAGCTATCTCTAAGTCCTAAATTGTGGCACATTTTAAATTTTAATCATTTGCCATTAGAGGGAGAGAATTTAAAGGGTCATGAAAATCTCTGCTTTCTCATTCCTTCTTTTAAACTTTATGTCCCTTATCTAATATTAGACAACCCAGGGCCAAGGCATATGCTGCAGTGCAGTGATCTTGGCTGGTGGAAAGAAACAAATGCTTTGGCCTCTCAAACTGGGTGCCTGTCTCCTTGGAAATGTCACACATCAAGGTTTACAAACTCAACTGCCTACAGGGACCAAGAAAGGACGCAAGCAAGTGGGTGAAGGTATGCAGTCCGGGATGGTGGCAGCTAGCGAGTGCATGCCCATGGAAAGGGGAGAGCCCACTGCCAGCTGCAGCCCAGTGTCACACACAGAAATGAAAAACTAGCACTGTTAAACCTGGTTTTTGAGAAAAAAAAATCCAAAACTTTATATAAACTCTCCAAATTTTAAGTGGTCATGACTAATTCAAATGATCAAACCAGACAAAACTAGTTTGAAGGAGGAATTTAGCCTAAGGGCTGTCACATAGGGACCTCTGGGTAGGGTATAAAAGTTTCACAACCTTCCAGCTCCCTTCAAATTCCCCAAATCTCTGTCAGGAGGAAATATTCCATCCTGAGAAAAGTTTCTCTCATTTTTGGCAAGTTGAGTTTGTCCCTGTCTTCTTATATATCAATTAAAATCTATTCCCTATGAGGAGACAAAAAGTATTATCATATCCTTCTAGAGTTAAGCCAGTGCTAGCCAATCGCAGATAAACAGAATTTACCTAGTTCCTCTCCACACACACAGGCTGGTCAGCGACATATTTTGTATCACTAGAAGAGCAGAATTTACAAATATTGACAAGTCCCAAGTGTGATCATCATAAAATCATAAGACACAAAGTTAAACTGGGTGGCTCTAAAGTCTGCTGTCCTGCTCCCACCAAAATTATATGAGACTAAGGTGAAAATATTCTCTGGACTCCTACATTAAAATTAAAGTATAGTCTTGGCTGGTGTGACTCAGCAGATTGAGCCCTGGCTTGCGGACCAAAGGGTAGCCAGTCCAATTCCCAGTCAGGGCACATGCCTGGGTTATGGGCCAGGTCCCAAGTAGTGGGCACACAAGAGGCAACCACACATTGATGTTTCTCTCCCTTTCTTTTCTTCCTCCCTTCCCCTTTGTCTAAAAATAAATTAATAAAATATTTAAAAATTTAAAGTATAAATCCTACCTTGTGTACAGATAGCTGTCGTTCCACAAATTCTGATACATGCTCCCAAATAGTAGAGACTTCTGTAGTTCAAAACAAACCAAGAATAATTTACTTCAGTACCCATGTGGTAGTATCTTAGTGATAATAAATAAAAATGTAGATATTACAGAATCCCAATTAATTTATAATTAACAGAAAATAAGGGCATTCTCCAAAAGTAATTTTCCAAGTAACTAATGCTTACTCCTTTAATTTCCAAAAATGTGACTTAAATCATAATAACTATAGCCCTGGCCAGGTGCTTCAGTTGGTGGAACATCATCCTGTACACCAAAAGGTTGTGGTTCAATTCCTAGTTGAGACACATACAGGAGACAACAGATCAATGTTTTTCTCTCACATCAATGCTTCTTTCTCTCTCCTTCTCAAATCAATAAAAACATATCCTCTGGCAAGGATTAATATATATATATATATATATATATATATATATATATATATGGAATAATTACAATTAATTTTTGAAGAAAATATTTATAGAATAAAGGGAACTATCACAAATATCCCATTAAGCTATAAAATTAACCAAGCATAATCTACCCTTTTCTTAATGACCCACTCAGCAAACAACTAAGTGTCTTCTCTGTGCCATCTGATCAATGTGAACATCATTCTTATACTATTCTAGAACACAGGAATAAAGCCAAGGGCCACTAAGACATGACAGGCTGTTGTCTGTACATTAACTGTCTCCATACTTTTATTTTTGATTAGTCCTTGACTTGCCTCTTCATTCTCACTTGTTGGTGTTAGATGGCCAGCTGTCATTTTCTCTACTACCAGTTCTCTGCAGGCCCTTTACCCAGTCCTAATTCGCTGTTTCTGATCTGCTGTGTTCTTGATTTCAACAAATATACTATTATATGGCTAAAAATAATAAATTTTAATTTATATTATACTGATTATGCTGTTCCAATTGTCCCAGTTTTCCCCCTAGTATCCCCTACTCCCTCAGCCAATCCCCACACCATTGTTCATGTCCATGGGTCATGAATATGAGTTCTTTGGCTACTCCATTTCCTATACTGTACTGTACATCCCCACAGCTATTCTGTAACTACCTATGTGTACTGCTTAATCCTCTCTCCTCTTCACCCATTCCCCAAACCCACCTCCCCTCTGGCACCCATCAAAATGCTCTCCGTATCCATGATTCACTCTCTCAAACTATTTTCTTAGTTTGTTTGGTTTTATTCAATTATTGATAGGTATGTGTCTATTGCCATTTTATTGTTTATAGTTTTGATCTTCTTTTTCTTAGATAAGTCCCCTTAACATGTCATATAATAACAGTTTGCTGATGATGAACTCCTTTAGTTTTTTCATGTCTGGGAGCTCTTTCTCTGGCCTTTGGTTCTAAATAATAGCTTTGCTGAATAGTGTAATCTTGGCTATAGGTCCCTGCTTTTCATGATTTTGAATATTCCTTGCCAATCCCTTCTAGCCTGCAAAGTTTCATTTGAGAAATCTGATAAACTTATGGGGACTCCCCTGTATGTAATTAACTGCTTTTCTCTTGCCACTTTTAAGAAACTCTTTATCTTTAACCTTTGGGGTTTTAATTATGATGTGTCTTGGAATGGGCCTCTTTGCATCCATATTGTTTGGGGCTCTCTGTGCTTCCTGGACTTGCATGTCTATTTCCTTCACCAAATTACAGATATTTTCTTTCATTATTGTTTCAAATAGATTTCCAAATTCTTGTTCTTTCTCTTCTCCTTCTGGCACCACTATGATGCAAATGTTGGATCATTTGAAGTCACAGAGGCTGCTTACACTGTCCTCATTTTTTTTGTATTTTTTTCTCTTGTTGTTCTGATTGGTTGTTTTTTGTTTTCTTACATTCCATATCATTGATTTGATCCTTGACTTCATCCACACTACTGTTGATTCTCTGTAAATTGTTCTTTATTTTAATTAGTGTATCCTTCATTTCTGACTGGATCTCTTTTATGAAGAGATAAAGTCCTATTTTTAGAGCTGTGGAGTCCTATGTACGTTGAGCATCCTTATAACCAGTGTTTGAACTCTGTATCTGATAGATTGCTCATCTCCGTTTTGTTTAGCTTTTTTTCCGGAGTTTTCACCTGTTCTTTTATTGGAGCCATGTTTCTTTGTCTCCTCATTTTGGCAGCCTCCCTGTGTTTGTTTTTATGTATTAGGTAGAACTACTATGACTCCCTATCTTGGAAACATGGCCTTACGTAGTAGGTGTCCTGTAGCGTCCAGTGGCACAGCCTTCCCCATCACCCAAGCAGGGTGCTCAAAGTGCATCCTTTGGATGGGCTGAGTACACCCTTCTCTTGCAATTGAACCTTGACTGCTGTTGGCAGGCCAATGGGAGGGCTTTACTCAGGCCAGTCAGGGGCAAGACCTGGCTATGACCCCTGACCACCAATCACCGCTCTCTGTAGAGGAGCAGCTGTGCAGGGGCAGGGTGGTGGTGCTCTGATGTGGTCTGTAGCTGTCCACTGGGTAGGCAAACTCAGGTTTCCCAGGTAATGTAATCCAGGATCAGCCACTACCTGCCTGAGGCCACCCAGCATAAGCTACCAAGCAATTTGCATATGGCTGCTGCTAGTGCTGGGCCTGTGGCCACTTAGCCAGAGGTACAGGAGCTGGGAGCTCACTAAGGCTGGCTGTTACTTGTTTGAGAGGATATAGGAAGATGTCTAAAATGATCATTTTTAAAAACAGATATTTGGAAAGTGATCTTTAGGGGCTTTAGCTTTATACCGAAGCAGTGCATAGACTTTGCACTCTCTACTTTGAATGATTGAAGGAGGCCTTCTAATTCATTTTCTTGTTCTGAGTTGTGTTTACAGTGATAGAGAAATGAGTTGTTGCCAATAACTAAAGTGTTGAAGTGTGATATAAAGGTATACCCCAGGTATAACTAATATTTAGAATATAGAAAATTATGTGTATGTTGACATTTCCATTCCAAGCCTAACTGTGTGTATTAAAGATACTTTTCAGTCAGGAACTCTACACATCAAAAGAGTTTGATTTCATTCTCAGATTAAAGATCTAGAACAGTGACATTTATCAGGTTACCATTGTAGGACATAGATGACACTGGTAACAAAAGACCAGTTGTTTCCCCACTTTGAGAACTGCTTGATTTATTGCATAACTTTTTCTGATAATTTAAATCATATCTAAAGCAGGGAAATTGCAGTCTTTTAATTCCAGTACATCAGGTTTATAAATATTTTTATTCATGTGACAAGGATGGAACAAGTTAGGAAATGAGAAATAACTTTCATGGGCATCTGGGAACCACTCAGGTGAGGGAAACTCATTCACTCATCAAGAAATTGAGGACTACATGGTACAGTGAGCCAAATGTCAAGATTCTGCCCTTCACTCTGAATCACAGATACACAGTTTACACAGTTCCACTCTTCTTCCCATCCTATCATCTTCCCCACTCCTCCCTGCCCCCACAGACAAGAGAATTCTACTGCTGGGTGCTAAGAACTAAGGTCTTTCACCCAGTCCCAAGTGTACACTGAATTAAAATCATTATAACCAAAAATCTCATTAATTTATTAATAATCCAAAATCTCAGTATCCAGATTTAAATGGAGACCTTTCAAACTAAGGTCAAAACTGTTAAGTCTTTCACCTGGACTCCTGACATCCAGTTCAAATTCCAGAAAAACAATCTACACCAAAAGGAAATGATTTGATTAGGGTCAGGAGAAACTATATAGCCTGCAACCAAACCCTAGTCAAAAGACTTGAAGGAACTTAATTGGAAATTTGAGGATAGTCTTTCTTCATGTGGATGACACATTCAAGTCCACTGTGTTGCTTTTCTATAAAACTAATAGGCAACGTTATATAAGAGCAGAGTTTATTATTCTAAGCTCAAGTTTGCTATTTAGAATAGATTTGGAAATTTTATACACTGGGAGTTCTAACTTTGATTTTTCTGACATCCCAAAGGATCATAGAAGTTATCACTAAATCTCAAAACAAAAATAATTTTAATCCACTCTAAAAAGCAAATTAAATATATGCTACTCTATTATTTTAAGGAAAATGATGTTATGTTAATCAAACACTGAAATACCAAGAATCACTATTATAAGGAAACAATGTCTATATTCGGTTCTAAAGTTTGTGCACTCAAAACTATATTTTAAACACAGTACTGAGTAGCAAGAATACTGTATCTCATACATAATCATTATAGAAAAGAACTAAGTGCCCATTGTGTGAAGTATAGAATAATACATATGTGTGAAATAGATGTTAACATCAAAAATGAAAAATAAGTTTCCCAACTTTATGAAAGATCTTATAAAATTAAAATACAAACAGATCTTATAAAATAATTTGATATACAAACAGAACAAATTATTACTGAGCAATTTGAAAAATAAAATGTTCCCAGAGCATAATGCAGTGAGAAGGTCAGTGTGCTGCATGTCTGAAGACCTTCCTGCCTCCACAGTCTTCAGGAGTTTCACCCAGTGCACATCTGTGAAATGATGGGGCCTTCTGCATACTAGAATCACGTAACACAAACTTTGGTACAACATACCGAAGCAGCAGGACTTCACATAGACATGATGAAAAGTTAGCTTATGTGTTTTGCTGACATTGGGAGTTCACCCTCATCTCCTTAACAATGGGTCATTGGCAAAAGTTAATAAGTAGTAATTTGATTTCTGCTTCTGTCATTCAAGCAACAAAGCTCTTACTGAAGTCACCAGTGGTCTCCTTGTCAATAAAATCAATAGACATGTTTTTCACCTCTGACCCCTCAGTCATCTCCAATACTGGTTACCAGTTACTAAGTGTGAATTTATATTAATTTCTGTACTTGGTTAATGTGTATCTTTCCCCAGTAGATTGTAAATTCCAAGGTCTTTGCTCACCATCAATTCTCGAGTGCCCAAGAGGCACATAGACATTCTAAAAATTACTTGAGCGAATATATTATACAGAAATATATAAATATGGCAAATATTTTTTAAATCCATAAAACCATTGTCTTTGATGCTTCTTTTAGAATTATTTTAACAGGGAAAAATAGGACTGATGCAGAGGAAAGAGAAAGAAGATGCATCTACTCATTTATTTGTCTCCCCGAAGGCTTTAGGGGAGGTAAAAGCCCCGGCAACATCTCTAGGTTACCATGGCTGGATAGTAACAGCAGCTTCCGTTTCTGGAGCACCTTTCTTCCCAAGGGCTCCTGTCTCTTGTGTCTCAGTGCTCGATTTCAGTGTCATGCAGGGGTGACTCTTCTAAGAAACTATGCTTTTAACCAAACCTAGTAAGTTTTCTAAGAAAAGCTGCTAGGTCTTCCTCCAGGCACCCAGTTCTTTTTATGATCATTTCACTTTCTTAACATAACCCCAAGATATCAAGATATGAAAGTAGCTGTGTTTTTGCCTGAACTCTGAGAAGGAGCCATTTGGGGGTGGTTGTGATAAGCTAACATTTATTCAGCATTTACTTTGTGCTAGTCCTGGAGCTAAGTGCTATGTATACATTATCTTTTTTCATCAAAACCCTCAGCTGGCCCCTGCCCCTTATTAACGCAGTCAATAAAATGGGCTCCGGGCATCCAGCCTGAGCTTAATGTAATTACCAACTGGTTGACAAGGTGACATGACCACCCAAGGGGACAGAGAAAGGCCTTCCACTTCAGCCCTCAAGCAGATAGAGTTTCAGGCCCAGGGCCCCCACCTCAAGTAGCTTACCCTCCTGGCTCAGCAAGGGCAGTGTGGGCAATACATTCCTGCCCAGGTCCTGTAGGGAAGGGAGGATGGTGTCCAACATCTCCAGTCCTCAACTGGTCCTTGCTGGGTCCTCAGTGGATCTATTTTCTTCCTTCTTTATATGGAGCTCATGCAAAAGTGATTTTTCCCACCCTCCAGTCCCCTCTCTTCAGAGATCTGGATGATCCTTAAATAAGAGGATCCTTAAAAATTACCAAATATTGAAATTTTTGTTTTTTAAACGTTTGACTCTCTGTCCCTCTCCCTGCTCTGGCTCTCCCTGGCGGCTTGCACCACAGGAAACCCGAGAGCTGAAAGGCACCAGAAGCAGCCTTCGTCCAAGCACCCGCACCACTGAGAGGCCCAGTGAAAGAGTGAGCCCCAGCTAGGAGGAGACGCCGGGAGAGGAGGCCAGCGTGCCGGAGGGAGAGACGCGTTGCTAAGACGCAACAAAGGGTTGCTCCGTTGCTAGGGCCTTGGTCCCGCCCCCTAAGATGGGCCACAGGTTGTCCCTGTGATTTCGTGAGCTCAGACAACGACGTTGGTTGGGGAGTAATTTAAATGGTTTGTTTGTTTGTTTGTTTGTTTGTTTGTTTGTTTGTTTTCCCTCCCCCTCTTTCCCTGGGCAGCAAAAAGACTCGGTCACTTTTGTGAGCACCTTATACAGATCTGGAAATACCTTTTGCCCCAGCCATGGGCATTTGAATCTCCGGATCTGTTTGAAGGATTAAGTTTGAGCCGGAGTCTGTTTCTCAGGTTTGGTTTTTCCTGGGCTCCTCTCCTAGGAAATGGAGGGCTGGAGATCTAGAGAGGGGACTGACTTTTTAAACACTGCATTCACTTTTTTCACTCCCTATACACTTCATGAATCTCATCCTGCAGAATGGTTTTCTTACTCTCCCTCTGATGACAATGAATTATCACAAAATGAACACACATGTAAACCCCACCCAGTCAAGACCTGGGATTCTCTCAGTACCGCAGAAACACATCTCAGTCCCTCTCCAGCAGTTATGCCAAATACTATAAACTCATTTTGCCTGTGTTTGAACTTAGAATTATATAGTATATATAATTTTGTGTGTGGCTCTGTCAATCAACATTATGTTTGTGAGAGTCCTCCATGGTTTCTGTAGTAACAGTTTGTTCATATGCACGGTCCATATTATTCCTCTGTATGACTATGCCACATTTTTTATCCCATTCTATTGTTGAGGGGACATTTGAAATGTTTCCACTTGGGGCTATGAAGAATAATTTTGCTCCCTGGCTGAGTGGCTTAGTTGGTTGGAGCATCATCCCATACACCAAAAGGCTCGATCCCAGTCAGGACACATACAGGAGTCAAGCCATTGATATCTTCCTCTTTCTCCCTCTCTGTCTCTTTCTCTCCTGCCCACGCTCGCCCATCTCTAAAATCCATAAAAACATATACTCAGGTAATGATTTAAAAAGTTGCTACATTCTTTTTTGTTGAATTTATTGGGATTGTATTGGTTAACAATATGATATAGGTTCCAAGTGGAAAATTCTATAACACATCATCTGTATATTGTATTCACCATCCTAAGTCTAGTCTCCTTCCATCACCCATTTATCCCCCATTTTTACCCTGTTCTACTTGCCCTCACCCCTCTTTACCTCTGGTAATAACCAGGCTGGTATCTGTGTCTTTGAGGGTGTTTGTTTGTTTTGGGGTTTTTTTGCTTAATCCCTTCACCTATCTCACCCAGCCTTCTCGCACTCCCCTCCCTTCTGACATCTGTCAGTCTGTTCTCTGTACCTGTGAATCTGTTTCTATCTTGCTTATTTTGTTCATTAGGTTCCACATATAAATGAAATCATATGGTATTTGCCTTTCACTAACTGGCTTATTTCACTTAGCTTAATACCCTCTAGGTCTCATCCATGCTGTCCCAAAAGGTAAGATTTCCTTCTTTTTATGGCTGAGTGGTATTCCATTGATAAATGTACCCCAGCTTTTTTATCCACTCATCTACTGATGGGCACTTGGGTTGCTTCCAATCTTAGCTACTGTCAATAGTGCTGCATTGGGTTTACATAGGGGAGCACATATTCTTTCGAATCAGTGTTTCAGGTTTCTTCAGATATATTCCCAGAAGTGGAATCACTGGGACATAAGGCAGTTCCATTTTTAATTTTCTGAGGAAACACCACATTGTTTTTTCCACGGTGGCTGCACCAGTCTGCATTCCCACCAACAGTGCACGAGGGTTCTTTTTTCTCCACATCCTCACCAGCACTTGGTGTTTGTTGATTTATGGATGATAGCCATTCCTACAGGTGTCAGGTGATATCTCATTGTGGTTTTAATTTGCATTGCTCTGCATATGTTCTTGAACAAAAGTTTTGATGCATATATATACTCATTTCTGATGTGTATATAACTGGATTTAGATTACTGGTCATAGGAAATGCTGATTTTAACAGATATTGCCAAGCACTTTTCCAAAGTGCTTAGTGGTCATGTAACAGGGTGCAGCTAAGGGCGGGGGGCCCAAATAGGGATTTGGAATAGGGTCCAGAACTCAAGGTGTCTAGGAAATATTGGAAAGACATATAAGATGTCTTCACCGCTTTCCCCCACAGGTGTGAGTTGGGGGAAGGGACACATGGAGCAGGAACATGCAGGTCTGTTTTGTACAGCCACAGTTTTGCAGCTAATCCATAGCATGGTGATTTAGCATATCTATAACCTTTAACTGGTTGCATAGATAGGTTGAATAGCTGTGGCCATGCTTTGAGCCAGAGAGAAGGGAGGGACTTCCACCCAAGATGTAACTGGGGGGCAGGGCCCCGGAGTCACAGCGCCTATGTGAGAGCTTGAAGAAGATTGGCTCCATGCCATGGGGCCACCCCTGCCCAGACTCACTGTGGCAGCCCAGTAAAGCTGGAAGGATATGAGAGTGCTAGCAAGTGTAGCCAATTGTGGAAGGAGTTGGAAATGGGGCTGCAGAGGAGGATTGTCTCAGGATTTAAACCCAGATGAAGCAGCCATGTGAGGAGAGCACTGTGCTTCTGGCAGAGTGGGGACCCCCACAGCCATGTGACAGAGGACCACGCAGCTGTGACCATGTAAGAGAGGGCCATCCACTTCTGGCAGAGTGGGGACCCCCACAGCTTGTGTAGAGAGAATCACCATGTGGCTTTAGCAGAGAACTGCCACTCAGCTTTGGCAGAGTGACAACCCCTCTCCTCCCCTCAGCTTTGGTAGAGAGAAGAACCACGTGGTTTTGGCCAGAGTGGGGACCCCTGCAGCTTTAGTAGAAGAGGAACCACGAGGCTTCGGGGTGCTCCCTTTGGCCATGGGGCCTGGGAAGCAGGAGAGACTTTGCCTGGAAGAAGGGTGAAAGAACTCTTTCCAGTAGGCCATGAGAAGGTACCACATGCTTTGGATTAATTAGAGATCCTGCCTGGACAGTGACACAGCTGATGGTGTCACAGACGTTTGCTTCTTTTTCTGAGTTAACGGTACCTCAAAGTGGGACAGGGGGAGAAGGAAGCACTGTGGGCATCAGAGGGTATCCAAAAAGGACTTTGATATTTTAATGAAGATGTTAGGTCACTACTTTAAGTTTGTATAGCATTAAATAAACATTTCCTTTCCTTTTCACAAATCTCTGGCCTTGAGAGATATCTTTCCTATAAGGCGGGGGACAATCGAACCTAGTGGGGTTCCTTTCGGTTATAGTATATCATGCCCCCCATGTGTGCCTGTTCTGTAACAATTTTTGGCATCCCTGGGTGGGCCAATAATCGCCCCCCCATCTGTTCTGTAACAGTCACAGTGGTGGTGAGAGGGACGAACTGCTGGTACTTGTGTGAACAGGAACAAGGAGTGCTCAGCAGCCTGCAGTGTTCAGGAAAGTTCTACATGGCGAAGGTTATTGCACATTTTGCACCATTTCTCACATCTCATCGGGCTTCCATTAAGAAAAAAAAAACTGCTTATAAGCCTAGAATAAAGTCCACTTTATGTATAAATACAAAGAAGTTTTTGCTCAATTTAATATCATTTCATTTCCTAAGAATTCAATTCCAAGTAAATTGGGGCAATATTACATTTTTTAAAAGAATTTAAGAAACTCTATCATCACAATCAGTGAGGCTGGTGGCAGCGGAGCAGCCAGCACACCTGACTCAGGCTGCATTCACTGTGATTCTTCCTATAAGTACGTGGCAACTGCATTCACCTTCCAGCACAGTCATGCCCAGGCATGTACATATTAAAATATGTATTATTTTACCTACCTATAATTTCTCTACTATGCCAGACTTGTGAGTTTATATTCATTTTTATATAGTATAGGTAGATACACCATATTATCCATAAACTCAGTTCAGGATAGTAACAAGGTATTACAAAATATTTGTTATATAAAACAACCTCATTGTGTCTAATAGGACTGAGACTCTCTGTGTTAGAACATGGCAAGCTCTCAGCCTCTTTCTCTATCTTGTCTGCTAGGAAAGTCAGAAATAAGTTTTGGGCCTTCCTTAAACTAGTTGCTTGGAAAAATAATTTCCTCCCACTCCCCCTTTTACTGCCTGCCTTTGGTCCTGTATTCTGTTGATGGTGTTTAGTTTTGAAGTGCTTGTGCTTGCAGAGAAGGCTGTCTCAGATCCTTTGGGGAAATAGGCAGAAAATATTGTTGCATGGATAGCAGCAAGCAATGGGCAACTGCTGCTGAGCCAGCTAAGTTTTAGTGGCAATATTAGTATGATTGTTCTATCTTAAGATAATCACAGAATTGTAAAAATATATTACTTTCTTAGATTAAATTTTGAGTTAAATATAGCGATGACCCTTTTAGTCTCTACAAAAGCTGTCTTGAGTTTCAGAAGGTTATGGATGACTGTTAATTACCATGAAACGGAGATGGCAAAAGGAGGATCTACTGACAATAAAGACAAAGACCTTTCTTTCAAAGTCAAAGTCGTCTTTTCCTTTTGTCAAAGGTCTCTCAACAACAGAGACTGTGGAGATAATGTGACCCGGTGTTTACTAGCAACTTCCAATGAACTATAAACATTATATATCCTGAAAATACATACCCTTCAGTTGATAACAAAGCTCAGGGAAACCATGCAA